GCAGAGGAAGGTGTCCCCTGGCTTCTTGATTTGGAACTGCTTCTAGCACGAATTCTATTATCCAATCTGATCGTCAAACAAATTAATTCTTCGAGGGTAGCTGGTTCGTCGAGGGTTGCGAGCTCATCCTTAATGTGCTCGTTTAATGCCATAAAATAAGCTCCTTTCAGAGCGCTTTGGTTCCATCCGGAAGCTGCCGCTTTAACCCGGAAGTTGATGGAGAATTCTGCCACAGAAGAATTTCCCTGCCTTAGATTGAAAAGAGCTCGAGAGTCAATAGTTTGATCTGTTTCTTGATTGAATACCTGGGTGAATTCAGAAATGAAATCTGAATAATGGCAATTGAGACTTTCATCGGAGGCAAATCTCGCCTGAGCCCACTCCAAGGCTCTTCCTGTTAACTGAGAAAGAATGAAAGTTATCTTTTTATAATCCGTGGAAAAACTGCCAGGAGAGTTCTGAAAAATTAAACGACACTGAAACAAAAATCCTTTGCAGTCCTTCCTATTACCAGAAAATCTTTCTGGTAGACTTGGGCGGAACTCGGATGACGTCACTGCCGGTGACCTCGGAGGGGGAACTGGACCCGGAAATGGTTGAGGTGCCGGTGCAGCATTAGCGCGGTTCAAACGGTTAGCAAAGTCTTGGGCAACATGATTTTGAAATTCAATGCGGGTGTTTAACTCACTGAGAGATTGAACATGCCTATGGATTTGGGCATCCCGCTCCTCCAATATTTGACGGAGATGTTCTGCTGGGCCTTGAATTTGGCCGCAGTGTTCTGTCATGATGGGTGCACGGAGAGTGACCCAAATATGCAGAACACCACTAGACGGACACTGGAGTAAAAGTTAACAAGTTTATTTTGCACAAGCACACTGTTATGACAGGTTCTGGTTTGGGCCTGGAAACTGGTTCACCGGAGTCTGCGTGAGAGACAGTTCAGTTAGCGTTGCACTTCGGAGTTTGATTTCTTGATTGTTACTGATTGTACCTTGAGGGTTCTTGCAGATAGCTTTGAGAGGGCTACTGTTGGATCTGAAGAGGAGTTGATCAGCAGAGTCCGCAAGCCGCTTCAGCGTCTTACTTCTATTAATGAGCTGACCTTGGCTTTGAGTTTTCCAGCTCTTAGTCCTGAGCTGCATGGAAGTTCACCGTGGGACATCAGGTTTGGCTGAGAGGGTAGGCTTGGCAGGTCAGCTCTTCCTGAGCTCCACAGGGGAAAAAACTGGTTTCCTGGAAGACAGAGACAAGGGTTAGAATCCAGGCTGGATTCAAAAGTCAACAAAGATTCTCAGAGAGTCTTGGCTTAGGCGCTGACCAACTGAATCAACGCTGCGGCGTTGAGGCAAGGTCTGAAGACAGCTTAAGTAGTGGATCCTCTGATGATCTGATGGGCTGCAGCTGTGCAGAAGGCTCACTCAGGAGGATCCACGGCGGACTCTGCTGGAGAAAGGTGGAACTTCTCCAGCTCCCAACAGTACTGCTGTTTTCTTGTCTCTTGCATCCTAAAAGTTAATTTCATTTGGTGACACTTTACAAAAATCATCCTTTATAAATGTTAAAGAGAATATTTATCAATGAATAATCTTTGATTATCATTTATAAACTGCATCTAAACGATTTATAAAAAGTAATCATATTGCCCTAAAACTTCACTGTAAACCTTTAATATAAATTTACACTTAAATCTTAAGAGTATTTTACTGTATTGCTGCCATACAGTGTCATACTGTAACCTGCAATGCATTTTGGAAGAAAAATAACATGATTTCGGCAAAATTTATTTATTTTTTTGGTCTACAAGAATACTGTAAATTTTACTGTATACAGCTAAGCATGATGGGAAGGTGAAAGAAAAGTGCCGGACAACTGGCAACTCTAGGCCATCACTCACAGGAAAATGTGATAAGACAACTTTATGGATATTTGGAGATGCGTGACTTTCTCCACACTGCCCACAGAGTAAGGTAACAAAATTTACATTTTTCCTTATTTAGAGAGGGGATTTTTTTCTTAAGATTTTTACACCATTTGTGCTACAACAAATTTGTTAAAAAATGTTTTTGTTGCAAGCTATAAGCTAAAATTAGAATGTCTTAGTATTTGGTCTTAGTTTAATGTTTTACCAACATAAAAAAAAAAGTGGTTGGATAAGTAACATGGTGAGTGTAGGTTAGTAATTTAGGTGTCGATTTCCATATCAAAAGAACCACAAAAAAAGCAATGTGCTAAACTTCGCTAAAATCAGCAAGTGGGTTTGAGGCTTTTAGGGTCAGGGTTAGGCTGTAATCTAATTACCATAAAAATGTTATCAATACATGTATATTATCTGTACATCATCCTTTTAACACTTGTGGCACATCATCAGATAGTGTGTGTGTGTGAGTGTAATATTCTTAATATATGACTACAGTATTATTATGCTCCATTGACACACTCATTTTGTTGTGATGGATTTGTATAATATGTTATATTGCATGATTTATAGAATTCATGGACTTCATACTAAAAATGCAATGTGATGTGCCTATTTTATACCATAAATTACAATAGTCTACTAATGGTATGAAACAGAAAGTGTGTGTCAAAGTGTTGACTTTATCTTTGTTTCCAAAGTTTTAGGACCCCCTGAAAATGAGAACATCATTGTTGTTCGATGCTGTAGCGCACGTACTTTTTACATTCTGACTGGTGTAACTAGGGAGTACCAATAGGGCGGCTGGTGATTTCTCAGCACCTTGTATTACCAACGGCCAATCTGTAATCCAGTGAATAAACAGAGACCAGAGAGTAACAAGGTGGAGGCACATTACTCAATATTCACCTTTCTCTGGTCGTGTTTTCTGCTGTTTCTAACAGCGCTACAGCAACTGGATCACTACATTATACTGAACATTATTTGATATGATGCATTCATAGATAGATATCCTCAAAGAAAAAAGTATTGCTTCGTCTTTATATTGTTTTGCAGTAGCTACGCTGACATCAAATCAGAGAGGGGCAAGAGAGAAAGAAAAGTGGCACAATAGTCCAGAAGATGCAAACATATGAATCTGCACGTCACCATCCTCATCAAGAGGATCAGTGTCTGATCTTTACGCACACACAGACACACAACAGGGGGGGGAAAAAAAGCTCATGCTTATTGATGTCATTTTTGTGTTGCAATATTTTGTTAAATAAAAAAGAAGTTTGAAAAGAAACTGAGTATTTTTTTAACTAGTTTGTTATATTTATGTTTTTATTATTAACATTTCTAATTGTAGTTGTAGTAACTTTAGAAATATTTGCAGTATTACAATAATGAACTGTATAGAATTATTAAAAGTACTGTTTCTCTGGAAAACAGCACTGCAAAAATAAAGCAGTCTACTGGAGAACCTGCTGCCAGTAAATTAGCATAAACCTACAATCATAAATTTACAGAAAAATAATTTTTATGCTTTTAAAGTAAATAACTATAATTATTTACAATAATTTAATGTAGGTCTAAATTACAGCAAGGCACTTTAAAATACAGCAGCATGTACATTTACAGTGAGACGTTTTACAGTGCAACACCCATAGACATTTGACCTGAACCTAACTTTTTTTTTTTTTTTCAACTTGCCCTGTCGTGATGGACTTACCCAACATCAGTTGGTCTAATGCCTTCATAAATGATCTATTTACCGGTTATAAATGGTTTAGATGCAGTTTATAAATGATTACCAAAAACAATATAACATCAAAAATATTAATCATCAATAAATGTTCTGTTGACCATTTATAAATGATGGTTAAGATGGATTTTGTAAAGTGTAACCGTTTTATATTACACATTTTAAAAACTAGAATACTTTTATATGGGGGCAAGAAAAAATATAAACCAATGGGTAAAGTAATATACATATGTTATATGTATATTACTTTATATAAATTTGCAATACCGTACTTTAACTGTAATATGCAATTAATATGCAGTTACCTTCCACTGCACTTGAATTTAGATAGCTTCTGTCCAAACTTTATTTATTAATTTTATAGTAAAAGCCATCTGTATATTATGCTCATAATTCTGCCTATAGTAATAGCCATCTGTACAATATTCATAGTACATATTCTTTTGCAAACTCTGTTATAATGACAGTCATCTGTATATTATGCTATTGTACAGATCTGTAAAAACCCTATTTATAGTAATATCCACCTGTATTTTTTATTCGGTACATATCCAGCTGTAAATTTTGTTCGTAACACTAGTTATCTATATATTACGTTCATAGGACAAATCTATTAGTAAAATTCTGTTTATAATGGTCTTCAGCTCTATATTTATTCAGTAGAAACCCATGTCCTGTATTTATGGAATCATTATTTATCCTGCACTTGCTGCTATTGCACTTCTGGTTAGACCTAAACTGCATTTCGTTGCCTTGTACCTGTACCTGTGTAATGACAAAAAAGTTAAATCTAATCTAATCTAAAAATCTATGATTAGAAATATACATTTTGTATGGGGATACTGAGAGAAATTATAAATAATACAGTTTCATTCAGTTTAAATTCAGTTAGCAGTAACTATCTCAGCCATTTATTTTGCAGTAATCACTTCTCTTTAGGCAGCATGCAGCATAGGTAAGGAAACACTCCATTTTAAAATGAAGAAACCATCACAAACAGGGGCCACATGAGTGGTCATCTGTCACTACCTGATGCAAAGAGCATGGGAAAACATGGGGAAGTACTGGTCCTTCAGTAACTAATGCTCAATCCAAAACTCAATCCAGTTGATAAAAGTTTCTTCTCTTGGATTAAGGAGTTTAGATTTCAGATAATGTTCATGATGTTGAAAAATTTATGATTTTCACTCTGTTTCATCATCAAACAACATTGATGTCTTTTATTTTCAAATGCAACTCATCTACCTCTGCCTCATTTTCATGTCATCCCTTCATCATCCCATTCAATGCTATTCCATCACTCTGTGTGGTCACTGCCATCCTCCATGCATTCAGCCAAAGCTGGTTATCACACATGTGAGTACAACATGACTGAATCTATGATGATGCTCTGGACAACTACCGAGTTGATCCTGTTCCAATTTTATGCCACCTGAATGAAGCAAAAAATATAAAATATTACATCTAATTTTGTGTATTTTCAGCTCATAAGCAAAAGAAGGTGGAGGCGCTGCAGCCCTGTGACACTGCATATCCTGGCTTTATGTATGACTCCTCTATCAGGGAAGCCAACAGTCTCATCAAGTGTGGACGCTGCCAGAAGTATGAGTACTAACTTGTACACATTACCGTTAATTCTTATTTTTAGATCATTTAGACAACAGTCATAATGCATTGAACATACTGATATAATGATAATGCTTAATGAAAACCCTATCAGTCTTTATTCAAACAGATATCACTGTTAAAAAAATAGTCAGGTTAACACAGAGCATCTTCTCCAGGTCAGAAACAAAAAGGATTTCCTAATGTGTTTCCATATAGCAGAGTTTAAGTTGCACTACAGCATTGGACTGCATTTTACTCTTGGTTACGTACATTAATCTTCTGTATGTGTTCAGGTATTTGTTTGGTACATGTGGCAAACAGACAAGGCTATACCTGATAATTTTAATGCAAATATATACACTCACCGGCCACTTTATTAGGTAACCCATGCTAGTAACGGGTTGGACCCCCTTTTGCCTTCAGAACTGCCTCAATTCTTGGTGGCATAGATTCAACAAGGTGCTGGAAGCATTCCTCAGGGAGTTTGGTCCATATTGACATGATGGCATCGCACAGTTGCCGCAGATTTGTCGGCTGCACATCCATGATGCGAATCTCCCGTTCCACCACATCCCAAAGATGCTCTATTGGATTGAGATCTGGTGACTGTGGAGGCCATTTGAGTACAGTGAACTCATTGTCATGTTCAAGAAACCAGTCTGAGATGATTCCAGCCTTATGACATGGCGCATTGTCCTGCTGAAAGTAGCCATCAGAAGTTGGGTACATTGTGGTCATAAAGGCATGGATATGGTCAGCAACAATACTCAGGTAGGCTGTGGCATTGCAACGATGCTCAATTGGTACCAAGGGGCCCAAAGAGTGCCAAGAAAATATTCCCCACACCATGACACCACCACCACCATCCTGAACCGTTGATACAAGGCAGGATGGATCCATGCTTTCATGTTGTAGACGCCAAATTCTGACCCTACCATCCGAATGTGGCAGCAGAAATCGAGACTCATCAGACCAGGCAACGTTTTTCCAATCTTCTATTGTCCAATTTCGATGAGCTTGTGCAAATTGTAGCCTCAGTTTCCTGTTCTTAGCTGAAAGGAGTGGCACCCGGTGTGGTCTTCTGCTGCTGTAGCCCATCTGCCTCAAAGTTTGACGTACTGTGCGTTCAGAGATGCTCTTCTGCCCACCTTGGTTGTAACGGGTGGTTATTTGAGTCACTGTTGCCCTTCTATCAGCTCGAACCAGTCTGGCCATTCTCCTCTGACCTCTGGCATCAACAAGGCATTTCCGCCCACAGAACTGCCGCTCACTGGATGTTTTTTCTTTTTCGGACCATTCTCTGTAAACCCTAGAGATGGTTGTGCGTGAAAATCCCAGTAGATCAGCAGTTTCTGAAATACTCAGACCAGCCCTTCTGGCACCAACAATCATGCCACGTTCAAAGTCACTCAAATCACCTTTCTTCCCCATACTGATGCTCGGTTTGAACTGCAGGAGATTGTATTGACCATGTCTACATGCCTAAATGCACTGAGTTGCCGCCATGTGATTGGCTGCTTAGAAATTAAGTGTTAATGAGCAGGTGGACAGGTGTACCTAATAAAGTGGCCGGTGAGTGTAAACCCTTTAGGTACACTCACACCAGGTGGAGCAGAAGGATTCCCACGTTATTTCTATGTAGAACGGTGGATCTGAAGCAAAGAAAATTGGAGCGAAGTTGAGCAATATAGGGAGGAGAACGGCAAATTTTCGACATCTGATTGCCTGCGAATGAAGTTAAAAAATCTAAAAAAAAAGGTTTTCATTCGCTTGTGAAAATCTTGTCAGGGAATAGATGTGAGCAGTGTGCTACAGTGAAGAAGCGCAGCAAAGACGAGCTTTATTATTAAGAATGGTAGATATAGAAAATAATGTTGACAAAGAATGAAGTGGGAATGCTTTTCAGAGATTATAAGGTGGCTTTAAAAAAAAAAACATATAAATTTAGCCCAATAAGGACCTGATGTATTTCCTGCAGCATAGATAATGCTTTCTTTACCTGGCTCCACTGGTTTCTGCCTGGGCAAGCTTCACTAATCCTCCAGGCACCCAAACATGTTGTTCATAGGGAAAAGGAGTGGCAGCCTACAGGTTGGGGCATTTGTGCTTGTAATCTAGAGCAGGCATCCCCAACCTTGGTCCTCGAGGCTCCCTGTCCTGCAGGTTTTAGAGGTTTCCCTGCTTTAGCACAGCTGATTATAATGATTGCAGTAGACCAAAAGCCTGTTAATCAGCTTTCAAATAAAAACAGCTGTGCTGGAGCAAGGAAACCTCTAAAACCTGCAGGACAGTGGGCCTCGAGGATCGAGTTTGGGGATGCCTGATCTAGAGCAATGTTTTTCAATCCTGGTCCTCAAGGCACCCTGCCCTGCATGTTTTAGATGTTTCCCAGCTTTAACACACCTGTTATCAATTGATAGCAGATTATCAGGCTTTGCTGAACTGCAATTATCTGAATCAGGTGTGCTGAAGCTCAGAAAAATCCAAAACATGGAGAGCAGGGTGCCTTGAGGACCAGGGTTGAAAAACACTGATCTAGAGGTTTTGAATTAAAGCCCCACTCTCAAGGAGTGTCCACTGTGAGTCCACTCTGTACTTGTGACAGTCTAATGTCAATAAAAAACTGGAAAAGAAAAAAAAAAAGTGATGTTAGGTTTCACCTGTGTTTTTATTGTGAAATGCCAACAGACAGGAAATGCCACGGGGTTTCCAGGGGTCACAGCTGGTCCAAACATAAGAATCTGGGAGGCAGTGATTGACTAAATATTAAAACAATAATTATAGTGTTACGTCCACCTGGCTTGTTGGGTGGGGTAACATTCATGGAGACCACACAAGGATTTTTAGAGTTGATGAAAAAGGAAATTTATTAAATTATATTAAGTAAAACCTAAAAAAGGATTACCTGAAATAAGAAGCCAAAACAGATTAGTACAAAACCCATAACCAATTAGAAATAAACAAGCGCAAAACAAACCTAACAAAACTCAATCATAAAGTCCAAACCAAACCAACTGGAGTTCTGAAGAGGGAGAGGAGGAAAAAAGCCTCCTGACTGCTGCAGCATGACAGCTTTTAAAGCAGCAGAGCACCAATCAGGGAAAAAAACATAACACCTGCAGAAGGCCTGCCTCCAGGACCCTGAAAGAAAAAGCAGAGACCCACTGCAGCCGTAACAATAGCGTCTAAATAAGGTGAACATTCCAACTGTTATATTCATTACCAGCACAGAAATGACATGTGATGTTATGCAGTAACTTTATATCCAGAAACGTGCGAAGCACTAGCGTCCACTAGAATGGCAACATCATTGACCCAAATTAAAAATCTATCTTAAAAACCAAATCAGCACAAATGATCAGCATCACTACTTTTCCCACCCCATTAGTTACATAAATCCACCTCCCCGCAAGCTGCCTGCGCCATCTTTGTTCTTTCCCGCCGCCACAACAAATCCCATGAAGCCTTCTTGCTTATATCTGCATGTCTAGTGACCTTGGATTTACACTATTTTTCAAGGCGCCTTCTGGGAATTCCAAGTCCTCAACTTTTTTCTTGTACTAGACGTTCAGACGCTCATCTAAAATGGTTTAAACACTGTATAGTCATCTACTTAGGGATTGGGGCTTATGATCAGAGACAGCCATAGATTCAGTGCCGTACCAGGGCTAAAAAACTTTGAGGTCAAGAGTCAGAACTTCTAGGCTTGCTTGGCGACATGCTCCCCTGGAAATGTTTTTAATTCTATTATTCAAATCTCACCTGCTTTACTATCATCAAGCATTTTCTCTTTCTCACCTTTCTCTTCCCACCTCTTCATCTTCACAAACACCTGCCTCTACATTTCTTTTCCGATTCTCCTGTCTAACCAAACATTTCAAACTTTTATTTTAGATACTGATTTCTGCATGGTTTTGTGAAGCAACCAGCTTTGCAAATCTGTATTCTAAAAATTATCTTCTGTGTTTGCCACTAGTGGTTAAAGTTGGGTGAATAATTTCAACCATGAACAAAAGTTTTTATTTTTGCTACCAGTGTATGCGTCATCAAGTGCGTCATCACAAAGGCATTTATTATATTGCATTATTTTTGCAAAGGTGAAGACATAATACTGGTCTGGTTTTCTCAAAAATCTCTTGTTATTACAAAAGATAAACGTGGATCAGTAAATGTGTGCAGATGCTTAATTTACGGATCCATTTTTTGAGTGATCTAAGAAGTTTGTGTTTTTTAGTGGCGTATGAGGAAAACTGTTTTAATGCCTTCATTTATAATTTATAGAAAATAAATGTAGCCAGTTTGGAGATTGGAATGCTCCACTAATACTGTCCACCTGGATAATGATTCTATATCAAACATGACCTGATATGTTTTGTTTCTAACATTACAGCTTACATTGTACAAAGATTTTTTTAATTGCAATGAAAGTATTTGTATCATTAATTATACTTTAATTAAGTAAAATGTATTTACGTACAGAGAAATATATGCATTCATTTTATTATTTTCTTAGAAGTTTAAATCTTTTCTAATAGAAAATCCAAATAAATTAAGAAAATTCTTTGGCATTTTTTTTCTTTTTCAGGATGTTTGTGGTGCAGCAGATTCCAGACAGTAATATGGTTTTGGTTGTGACCCAAGCTACCTGCGATTGCTCCCGTCAGTTCGGACCCATCCTGCTGCAGCCAAAGGAAATTAAATATATCCTTCTTTCTCTCAAAAAGACAACCCACCAACAAGACCAATACAGGATTTAGTTCAGCACATGTATCTGGTGTTGGAAAACATAAAAAAGAGCATTGATATCGTCTCTTCATTAGTTTCCACATATTGTTAAGCTAAAGATTAATTAACACAGAGCCTACAGCTCATTTTAATTACATTGTCAGAGCCTTACTCCTAAGTTATTAGCACACCCATACAGTAGCTTTTCTTAACATTTGGAAACATAATGCAACTGTGAAGTGCAACAGGATGAAGTCTCAGAAGGTGCGAAGGCGTCCAGAATCCTGCCATGCCTACCACCCAAAGGTCAGATGTTAGTTTTATTCTGATTAAACAATGTGAAAATAGCGTCATGTTCTACGTATAAAGAAACTAAGTGGGATACTATTTTTGGATGTTTTGTGAAATTATTATTTTTTTTAACTATGAAAATGTCTGATCCACTAGGAGGACGCTAAGGAATGTGGTGGGGCATCTGCCATCTCCTTGTCCCTTCCTCTCTTCTCTGCCTCTCTGCTGTTTTCACCGGTCCTCCTTCGGTGAACACAAACCAGGATAAACCCATTAAACTACCAGAAGATATGAAAATTCTTCACTAGTTAGTTATAATCAGTTTATGTTTTATGTAGACCTTAAGCAATGAGTCTCTGTATTACAGGGATAAATGTCTATTTCATTTTTAATCCATTTTTTACTCAGTTTAGAATGTTTTTGTAATAGGTAAAAACTGATTAAAAAGATTAAAAAGAACAGCACCCAAGTCTCCTAACCTGACTCTGAGGAAAGGTAGCTGCCTCCCGCTGGTCAGGTATAAAAAGTGCAGCTTCAGTGTGCAGGCACATTACCATTGTACTTGGATATGCTGCATTCTGGGAGTTCTTTCACTCAGAAATGTTGTTTATGAGATGAGTTTTACATTTTCAAAAATGTGTCACAGTAGATAATAGAGTTGCATTTTTAAACCCAATGTTTTCAAAAGTTCAAGAGAAATAGTGTCATAGTGCTTCATGATTCGTTTCATCTGGTTAATCTTCCAAGCTACCAATTCCCTTATACTCTTTAAATATCTCCCACTCTTAAGTTTTTTTTGAAAGTCTTTAATAGTATTATTTCTTTTCTACATTCAGTTTAAGTAATCAGGACACCTGACTAGATTTCTCACAGCAGCAGTGATTATTTTAGTCACATGGACAGAGCATATGAAATCACAAATATAAGTATTTACCATAGCCTATATAGTAAAAGTTTATACTTATTCAGTAAATACAACATAAATGACTAAATAAATTGTTTTGCTTTTACATCTGACAGTATGAGGCATGATTTATTCACGAATTGCTGCTTTTATTCTAGAATTTTGCTGCTTAAAGTTAAGAGGTGTCAACTAATAAAGTACAAATACTTCATTACCTTACTGAAGTAGAAATTTTGGCTATCTATACTTTACTGGAGTAATTATTCTTTAGACAACTTCTTACTTCTCCATACATTTTAAAAATATACTCATTAGTTTTGTTTCTTTTAAGCTAGTTTTCTTTATGGCCTGTTGGCATTTAAAAAATAAAATCCATCAATATAATTAGCTTCATGCAGACAATTTCTTCCTGGTTGGACTCGGTACCCCATCAAAATAAGTAGTTGTTCATGATGATTCAGATTTAAAATTGACAGTTTTATCATTAGTTACAAAACCAATAAAATAAATTCTAAGTAAGTGATTATGCAGAATTGTAGAAAAATGTTTCTTTAATACAGTTGCGCAGTAACTAGTGTAAGCTTTAAAACATCTGTCCTTAACATTTTTAGATGTATTACTTTTACTTTTATAATTTAAGTGTCAAGGTTTGGTGGAGGTTGTTTGAGGACCCAATTGCAGAGATGAGGAGGCAGAGATGAGATCTTGCAGATTTAATTAAGGTTCCAAAGGCAACAGAGGCAAAAATCCAGGAACAAAATAAAGAAATCAAAAACCAGGAGATGCCAGGGAGAAACACACACACACGGAGCAAAGCAAAGAAGAGAAACCAGCACTGATGAGCTGCAGAGGAGGAGTATATATGGGAGTCCAAATCTCATTTCTTATGGCTAATTTGTTATGTGAATTGAACCACAGCATTTAAGCTGTCCCTTTCAACATCACTATTAGGTTTAAAATCCCCCACCTGTTATGACCTTGTCATGTTTTTAAACAGTAAATAACATAGAAAGTCTGAAAATAAATAAAAAAATAAAAAAGTGGTTTTAGTGCTTTACAATTTAGATAGAGTAAATTAAGGGTTAAATGCTCAAAACAATTATAATTGTTAACTGATTAATCAATAAGCAAGATTGAATGTTTGTTGTTGCAACCCCTCCTCCTTGCCCAGTAGCTCTCTACATTTAAAAGGTAAATAACATGGATTTGACTGATTTATGCCAAAATAATCCTCCTGCTACAGGCAGATTTCTGTTAGACAATATTGATCAGATTATCACAAATCAAGTTATTAAATCTATTTTAGGAGGGTGATCCTATTTTCAATTAACACATTGCTTTATCTTTTTTTCGTAGTTGGACTCATTTTAAATTCACAATATTTTCTCCTTTGGATTATTTTAGAATTTATGCCATTACTGTCACGGGTAATCACTTCTGAATGGTGTAGCTATAGCGACCCTGGACCCCGGCTGTCAGGGTTTTAGGGGGACTGATAAATTTGACTAGATTCCTTGAAAGAAGAGCTGCACCATGAGATGGATTCCATCTCTCTGCAACAGCCCAGGTTTCTCCAAAATTGAGCATCCTCTTAAGAAGATTTTTAGAGTGTCTTCAGTCAACAGGAAATCTGAAAAAAAATTTGATTCTCTAATGTCGGGAAGATCTACTTCATCATCCTGCAACTTAACCAGGAAGCTAAAAGATATTTACATCTAAAAAAAATGGGTGAATTAGAGAACAAATCAGCTATATGTCCCTAAAGCAAATAACTTTTAGGTTTACAAACACAATCAACAATTTCTGCAATAAATCATTACATTTAAAGATTGTAAATTAGATCAAAAATGACAATGAAAAAATAAAACACCAGGAAGACCTTTTCGGTGAATCAATTTTCCCTTCAAAGATTTTTCAATATCAATATAAGTCCCCTACCGTCTATAATTTAACTGATGGGATATTTTTTTTTTTTTTTTATCATGAAAGAAAAACTTCAGGATCACACACAGGTTATGTATATTTAATTTTACAGCAGTAAAACAAGTAAAATCCAAATGAAGGTTGCTGTGGTATCATGAAACAGAGCAGTTCATGGTTTGTTTTTTTACATATACATAAAAAAATGCATTTTTGATGTAATTTTTTAAAACAGTTCAAGCTTCTTTATCCACAGAAACATTCATCAAGTCCAGAGTTTTTTTCCCGTCAGAGAGACTGGTATTTTTTAAAAACATAAATAAAGAAAGCAGTGCGTCCACACAGTTTGAATCTGCAGTTCTGGTATAAATGTGGCAGAAACTGGAGCCTGCGACTCTGAGACGCTTCGAAGCTCATCTTTGACTAAAGATAAACCACTGAGTTTAATTTCTATAAATATATGAATAATAAGGATGTGTCCTGACTTTAGTCCAAATCTTGTAAGTTGGGAACAAGGCATGAGTGAATGATGTTTTGTACCCAATGGTTTTGTCATCCTCCCAGACAGAGAAGAACTAAACTACTTTTTGTCCAGATAAGATGTTTTCTCCAAGTTTCCCAGGTCCTACATTGCCTGCTGTTTGTCCTGGGCTGGGCCTGTCTCTTCAGCCTCCCCTCCTCTCTCCTGGTTCCAGTCCCTGAGGCCCTCTGGAAGGCTTGTGTCTTCTTCAAAGGTTCCTGTTCCTTCTACAAACTCCTCGTAGGTTGACTTCTCTTGGAATGGCCGAGGACCGAGCAGCTCCACCATGTCGGCTTTGTCTAGAACCTCTTTCTCAAGCAACCGCTTCCCCACCTGAGGACGGAATAATAGATAAACATGACTGAGTCGGCGTAATGTATTTGATTCAGACATGCAACTCCATGAATTACAACATAACGTCCGCCAAATCAACAAAAATCTGACATTGGCTGCATTAAATGCCATTAAATAATATGGCTGGTCTGTTCCAAGGCAGGGCTCTGCAGCCACTAGGTGCATCAAAGATAGATAAGTACAGGAAGCTGGTGAACCGCTTTGAAGCATGGTGTGGAAACGTTCATCTAATCCTGAATGTCAATGAATCAAGATTATTGTAGATTTCAGAGGAAATAGGTTATTAGGATAATCCTAATTTCATGGGAAAATATATGGAGGAAAATAAAAATATCTGACAACAAACTTGACAAGAGATGCTACAGTGAAGCTGTCTACAAAAAGGTATAGAGTAGAATGTACTTCTTAAGGAAGCTTAGTTCCTTCAGCATTTGCAGCAATATGCTGCACATCTTCTATAAGTCTGCTGTGGAGAGCTTTCAACATCTATAACATCTTATTGAAAAACTATAACATTAAATTTGTGTTTTTTAATTTAAAAGAATTTGAGCTGGTAAGTAAAATGAACTGCCAGTGAAAGAAGTGTTTTGGACTCTGAAAGATAATTATATATACTGCACTTGAAATAATATCATCGATAAGTTTTATTTCTTATTTTAAGAGCAAAAACGTATTCAATTGATCTCACATCAAATATAAATAGCATTTTCCTAAAATAAGGGACTAATTCTTATTTTTTGCAGCAAGTTCTTAACTGATCATTATATGTTGGAACCAACCTAGGCTTAGCATTGGAGACACTGATGGAAAGGTTGAATACAACAAATACAATAACCATTTAAAAAACAATTCAAGATGCATTACCTGTGCTACAAGTAAATATGCTCTGCTAAAAAGTCTCACCTTATCCACTTCATCCTTTTTGTCCATGATGAGCTGCAGGGTGCGCTCATATGCTTCATCCACCAGTTTTCTGACTTCCTGATCAATGAGTTCAGCTGTAGCCTCACTGTACGGTTTCTCCAGGACCATCTCACCCTGCCGGGGGAGGTCAAACGAAACCTGGCCCACCTTGTCACTCATCCCGAATTGCACCACCTAAATGTCAGTAAACAAAGTAAAGCTAAGTGTAAAGCTGTGTCAGTATTACTCACATTCGGACTCAGCAAGTGTACCTGAGCGTAGGCAGACTGTGTGATCTTCTTCAAGTCATCCTGAGCCCCCGTCGTTATCCGGCCAAAGAAGACCTCCTCAGCCACGCGGCCACCCAGCATCATGCACATCCTATCAAACAGCTGTTCTTTGGTGTAAAGGTACTGCTCTCTTGGGAGGTACTGAGCATAACCGAGACCCTTCCCCCGTGGAATGATTGACACCTGAAATTAAGGCAAAGCTCTATAAACATCATGCAGTAGCTGTCTTGGTCCGAGTTATGCTGGCCGATATCAACCATTTAATCTCTGAATTGTTTGAATTGAAGTAAACCGTCTATGTACAACTATAACAGGTATTTAACACCAAAAGTTAGCAAAATTACAAGAATACAGATATACCACTGTGCCTTTATACCATGAAAATGCATTTTGATGTAAATTTCAGGACCACTTCCTTCATATGCAGGGAAAAAAAAGAAAGATGTAGAAGTTCTCACACTTGTTTTCAATTTGCTTCACCAGGGAAAAGTTTTATTCTTATTATTTAGCAACATATAGCTGGCGTGAACAGGCCACAAACTCCAACTGATCAAAATAAAGATGAGGAGGAGGATGATTGAAAAATTATTTAGTTTGTTGTTAAGGTTCACTACTGGCCAGTGAGCTGCACTGTCAGCAGTGATATATATAGAGCTCAGTTTAAATGTCCTTATAAACATTTCTGTGTCTTAAATTAATCCAAAGACCTTATTTTACTGCAGCCGTAATAATCTTATGACTAGGGATGCACGATATTGGGATTTTGGCAGATATCCGATATGCCGATATTTTAAAACTCATGTAGCCGATAACCGATATCGATACCGATGTTAGAGCTGGACAAAAATAAGTAGTCATTGAAAATAGCAGTTTTGTTATCCATTTCTGACACTTTGAAAAATAATATACTCAAATATACGGTATTTTCATATGCTGATATCAAATTTATTTTTAAAAACGCAGTATCGATCTATTTTACTTTCAAAATCTACAAACTTACTTACAGTTACAAACTCTTGTGATATTTTGCAAATTCATGTGAGATTTTGTTAGTAAAATAGATCGATACCGCGTCAAT